GTGTAGGAAAATGTTAACTGTCCTTCACATCCTGTGGAATGTCAAATCCGCGGCCAACACGGCAGTTCACTCGACGCCCTAACGAACAGCGCCCGCCGACAAGGAAGACCGAGGTTTGGTGCACATGGGATCACAGGCCGCTCTGCTACCACTGTAGCGAAGCAGGGCACGTGTACCGACAGTGCCCTTACCACCAAATGGGACTTCGCGGCTTCTCACTTGATGCTTCCCGCCCGCGCTACGACCAGCGACTACCCGAAATCGAGGACTACCTCAACCAACCGGCTGGTGCTTCAGCTGATCGACGCCAGTCTAGGTCTCCGTCACTGAGACGTTACGAGTATTCAGGACGCCGCTCCTCCCCTGACGCTCCAAGGTCACGGTCACCAAGCCCATGCAGGGGAAACTAAGGGTGGCGACTTCGGGAGGTGAAGTTGCCCGCCGCCAAATCCAAGAAAACCCTCCAACGACGCAAGGCGCACAAAAGGACGACATGGAGACACCGTACAGGCACGTTAAACTAACTACCTCCGACCTCCCCCAGGTTATAGACGGATACAAAGTGACTGCACTGGTCGACACGGGCGCCAATTATTCCGTGTTAAATGGGGCTCTTGCCATTCGACTGAAGAAAATTATGACTGTCTGGGATGGGCCACAAATCCGCAGGGCTGGAGGTCATTTAATTACACCAGTCGGCAGGTGCACAGCAACTATGCAGATACGAGGAATTATGTTCCTCGACAGTTTTTGTCGTTCTCAGGGAGTGTTAAAAAAAGTAATACTCGGAATGGACTTTCACGGAGAGAACGGCGCAATCATAGACCTACGTAGGCAAATTATTACATTCTCCACTGCGCGATCCGTTGAAGAGGAGAAATCAACACTACGGCGTTCTCCACTCCAAGTAACGGATGACCACGTTTGTCTCCCGCCATGTAGCAGCATGCTCGTGACCGTCAGAACCGATGAGACCGCCTCTTCAGGAATCGCCGAGGCGAACTCTTCTCTTCCGCTGGAACGGGGAATCTGCATAGCCAAGGGTGTCGTTCAACTTCACGACGGACAAATTGAGTTATTACTTACGAGCTTTCGCTCTGAGCACCAGCATATTTCCCGTCAAACTACCATAGCCTATCTTGAGGACGTCGCTGATGTCAGCGGGTCCTTCTCACGAGAACCTTCATTCCCAGGCAACGTAATGACAACCTTCACAAAAACATTTGACGTTAACCATGAACTTCCAGAAAAAGAAAAGGAACATCTACTGGATGTTGTACATAAGTATAATGAGTGTTTTTCATCGTTATCAAAGGTGCGCCGGACGACTGTCGCCATACATAAAATCAACACGGATGAAGATAATAACGCCGAAACGACAGCCACCGTACAAGGTCTCGCATAAGGAACGAAAAACGATACGGCGACAAATCAAAGAAATCCTATATGACGACGTCATACAGCCATCAAAAAGTCCCTGGGCATCACCTGTAGTGCTTGTGAGAAAAAAAGATGGTACTCTACGATTTTGCGTAGACTACCGTAAGCTAAACACGGTCACCAAGAAGGACGTATACTCGCTGCCCCGCATAGATGATACTCTGGACAGGATTCGTAATGCGAAGCACTTTTGATCGATGGATCTCGAAACAGGCTATTGGCATATCGAAGTTGATGAAAGAGACCGAGAGAAGACCGCTTTCGTTACACCCGATGGCCTTTATGAGTTTAAGTTCCTTCCGTTTGGACTGTGCTCGGCGCCGGCCACATTCCAGCGGATGATGAACAGTGTTCTTGCTAACCTTAATTGACAAACATGCCTTGTGTACTTGGACGCTGTCGTAGTGTTTTCCACGAGCTTTAAAGAGCACGTGAATCGGCTAGAAGCTGCACTGCAAGCCATAAAGAGCGCTGGCCTCACACATAAGCCGGAAAAGTGCCACTTCGCATTCAAAGAGCTCAAATTTCCCGGCCACGTTGGGAGCGCAGAAGGCGTTCTGCACGACCCTGAGAAAACTTCTGCCGTCGCATTCTTCCCTCCTCCCGCCGACAAGAGGACCGTACGACAGTTTCTGGGACTATGCGCCTATTATAGACGCTTTGTGAAGCAATTTTCAAAAATCGCCGAACAACTCATTCGACTCTCGCGTGACAATGTCCCGCTTACATGAACAGGAGTAGCAGTGTGCTTTTGAAGAGCTTGAAAGTCGCCTGCAGTCGGCACCACTTCTCGCACACTTTGACGAGCTCGCAGAGACCGAGATCCTCACTGATGCTAGCAACGTTGGCCTCGGAGCCATTTTAGTCCACTGGCAAGATGGAGTCGAACGGGTGATTGCGTATGCCAGCCGCTCACTGTTCAAAGCAGAGACTATCTATTCGACCACGGAAAAAGAGTGTCTCGCAATCATTTGGGCCGCCATAAAGTTTCGGCCCTACCTTTGTGGGAGGCCTTTCAAAGCAGTCACATACCACCATTCTCTATGCTGGTTGGCCACCCTTACAGATCCTTCCGGGCGTCTCGCGCGCTGGAGCCTGAGACTTCAGGAGTTTGAAATCACCGTCATGCACAACTCGGGGCGAAAACACACCGACGCGGACTGTCTCTCTCGTGCTGCTGCTGACCCTGCTCAGCGAACCGATGAAGTAGACGACGCCTTTCTCGGAGTTATTGACACTGCGATCAAGGCCCAGCAGCAACGAACAGACCCCGAGCTTCGTGCTTTTACTGAGCACCTAGAAGTCCGTGATACGCCTGTACCAACCGCATTTTTTCGAAGTCAGGGTTCATTCTGCTTAAAAGACGATGTTCTGTACAAGAAATATTTCCAACCAATCACGGCCTCATACGTTCTTGTAATTCCGACTGCCCTTAGCGACGAAATTCTTTATGACAGCCACGACGAACCAACGTCGGGACACCTTGGTTTTGTTCGCACACTCGCGAGAGTCCGTAGGAAGTACCACTGGTCCCCGAATGTACGCGGCTGTAGACCATTACGTATGGACATGCCGCCACTGCCAGCGCCATAAGAAGCCGCCTGTGAGGCCCGCCGGCCTTCTTCAACCGATTGACCCGCCATCAGCACCATTTGAACAAAATGCAATGGACTTCTTGAGCCCTTTTTCAAGCTCGTCTTCAGGCAACCAGTGAATCATCGTTGCGACGGACTACCTGACGCGGTACGCCGAGACACGGGCACTCCCCCAAGGAACCGGATTATAGGTGGCAAAGTTTTTTGTCGACACCGTCGTATTGCGTCGTGACGCTACAAAAGTGGTTATAAGAAGATCGCGGTACTACATTAACAGCTCAGTTCACGCAAGACATCATGAGGCTGTCAGAAAACTCACAGAAAAACTACAGCATGTCACCCGCAAACTAACGGCATTACAGAGCGCCTCAAGACAATCGCCGATATGCTGTGCATGTACGTGGACGTCGAACACAAGACATTGGATGAGATTCTTTCCTACATCACTTTCGCGTATAATACGGCCCCTCAGGAAACAACGGGTTTCACGCCAGTTCGACTAGTTTACGGACGCGAGGCGACGACTACGCTGGACGCCATGCTGCCTAACTTCCCGGACATGATAGATGCCGACGCAGACATCTTCGCGCAACGTGCAGAAGAAGCGCGTCAACTGGCGAGAGTACGAATCCGCCGACAGCAACTCGTCGACCCCCGCCGCTACAACCTGCGCCGCCTGGACGTCCGATTTCGACTGGGGGATCAAGTATGGGCTTGGACACCTATCTGACGTCGAGGGCTTAGTGAAAAGCTTCTGCGAAAGTATTTCGGCTCGTACAAGGCTCTTCGTCGCCTGAGTGACCTCACATACGAAGTCATTCCGGATGCTGGACATCGTTCCTTCCAACACTCCGCACGTTCAGAGGTCGTCCACATTGTCCGGCTAAAGCCATACAACGTCAGAGAATAGAAACTTCTCACACCGTATTTATTTTTGGTTAAGCATCGGGACGACGCTTCATTGAAAGGAGAGGGCAGTGCCACACGCCAGACGCACGGGCGGATGGCACGAGCTATCACATTAGGGTAAGCGCGTTACATCGGGCAGTACTACACGCCAGACGCACGGGTCGATGGCACGAGCGTCTGGCGAGTAGTACTGCCGGATGTAACGCGCTTATCCTAATGTGACAGCTCGTGCCATCGGCCCGTACGTCTGGCGTGCGGCACTGCCCTCTCCTTTCGATGAAGCATCGTCCCGATGCTTAATCAAAAATACATGCGGTGTGAGAAGTGTCTATTCTCTGACGTAGTATGGCTTTAGCCGGACCACATGGAACGCTCACAGCTCAAAGCGCACAGTCACGCGATGGCGCCATCGCGGAACTGTGAGCTTCATTTTTTTGGGACATTTATTTTCATCGACGCTTCTGGGGCTTGACACTGAAGTGAAGAAGTTGAAGTTCTTGTTGATCCACGGGGCTGGACTTTTTTGGTGTTGTACATAAAGTCGTGACAATATCTTGTAAGCTTGAGCTCGTGGCTTCAGATATTCTAGTGATTAAGAAGTTTGGACAAATTAAGAAAATAAGACGGAGCAGACTAATGATCTCAAGGCAATTAGATTAATTATAAAAACACTATTTCTCTAGTGTTTCAACCGTGTTAATAAAGGTACCTCACACTAAATTCTGCAGGGATGAAAATATTTGTATTACTCAGTTCACCAAACATGAAAAATTCTTCAATATACCTTGGCAGAGGTAGCCATAGGAATTTTATGTTCATTTAATAAACGATGCAGAGCAACAGGATTTCGTTCTAAACAGTATGAAAATATACGCTTTATGCTCGGGAATAACTTTATGTGGCCACACTCTCATATTTATAGGAGCGCGTGTTCCCACTGTCGATTCAACCTCTGCACGCACACTTCTTTGTTTAGAAATATCACAGAAAGTTGTTTCCGAGTATAGCAGTTCTGTTTCAACGTCCATTTGTGTGATGTTTTTAACAACTTCATAGCTCAAGACAAGGTACCATGGCCGTTCGAATGCCAGTTCATAAATGTCCAGGATAAACAAGATAATGTAAGTAAATTGGGTTCATAATGACAACACCATTTATTGCAGCACTACATCCTAAATGGTAGGCCGTATGTTTTTAAAGAAAGCTCCAAACATAGTGTTTAAAAACAAATTTCAATATTGTAATATATAGGAGTGAATTGATATTTTATCTTAGAATTTATAGAACAAGTCACAGCCATTTTATGAATTTTGTGGCCTACTTCCGGCCTGTGTATAATTTCGAAGTGTATAAGAATTTGTCCTTTACCGAAACGCAAAACATTTGAGTCAATGCAATACGTTTTTATGTAATAACGACGTCTAGTACATTTCAACAGAAAAGTCTTGCAGTACTAGCCATATAGCTAGAGTTGTTGAACGTTACATGAGCTTTCGACACATTTTCGTCATGACCCCATTAAAGTCAAGCTGACTCGAAACAAGAAGAAATAATTTCGAAAACTAATGTAGGCGCGCACCAACACGCTTATGCTTTGAGTGTCGGAGAAGGTCCCAGACAAGATGATCTCTGTTGCCGGTTATAAATAAGGGTTTAATTAAAAAAATATCCCTTATAATGTAGGGTATGTCATATGTTTTAATAAAATTCAATTTGCAGAAGGTTATTTTTTAAAGAACAATGAGCACTGGTTCAAATTATACAGCACATGGCGTTCGCGCAGGAACGCCAGACTGCGCGATTATCAGACGACGTTCTTATTCACTCTGATTAAATAGAGACAGTGGGTAAAGAAAAATGCAGCCAGCCTTTGCTTCTACCTACTATCCTTCCAATCAGAGCACCTTGTGCTTAAGTTTGGGTAGAAGCGTCGAAGGACAGGGACAAAGTGAAGAAGGTAACAAGAACACGGAGCGTTACCTTCTTCACTTTGTCCCTATCCTCCTGCGCTTCTCTCCAGTCATAAAGCGGGATACGTCAGTGTGTTTTTTTCTGCTACCCAAAAAACACACACCCCCTTTCTCAAAAAATAATTTTAAAAAAACTCCTTGATCATACAGTTATTGAAATTCGTTCACTCCCCCTACACGACGTGTATGATCGTTTTGCAGCTAAAACAAAGAAAAATAAAGTATTTAACCATGCTTTATTTTCGCAAAATATTTGTGGCGTATAAATTCGCATAGCGGCCACCCTTAGCCAGTGGTCGTTTAAAAGTGTATTGCTTCAAGCAGAGCAAAAAAATGTTTACTATATCTTGCTAAAATGCTGTAAAAAACACCTGCTTTGGTGGAAAAAGCTTATGAAATTAGAAGTTTTCAAATATATTTTTGTACACAGTCCCATCGGATATGCAACTTTATATCAAAACGTTAACAGCATAAGTCGTAGAGCTGTTACTGTTACCACTTTTTAAAAAAAGGAATGCGTTTCACTCACATGCACAACAAAAAGAGCAATGCAATGTAAAACAGCAAGACACGTTCCCAATAAAAACAAAGAAACACAGAAAACGACACAGCTAGTGGAAATAAGCGATGACCAATTTTTTTACTTCCACTCACAAAAAATGAAGTCACTGAAGTTTCTGGTGGCACCGGCTTAGGAAGAAATATTGGTGTTCAGTCATGAACCTGTCTAAACAAAATGCAAAAAGAACATCAACAACAACAAGCACACAAGATACACCGATACCCTGTTCGCGCTAACTGTGTCGCGCAGTGCATGTCTTTTATTACAGTAAAAAAAATGTATTGGAGGATAGCGATCCGTAAGATATAGAAATATAAAAAATAAAGTATTTTCGCGGGTTACATGGGGTTTTAAGAGGCATGATTGGTTGACATTTTGGCCTAAATCAGGCCTTCCTTAAGACTGGTTATACGAACTCTAGCCTTTGGACTTATCCCCAAAGTGCCCTTGCCGATGACGAGGATGTTAAGTTTAGTTTCGATAAGGACTTTCACACTGAATTGACTTATCGAACTAAATCGATTATCATAGTGTTTGAACATTGCACGTGCTCTTGATAGCATTATGCCGAACAACATTTTGACCAAAACATAGTTAAAAACGCATATAAGCATAATTACCCAGCATCTTGCGTGAAGATTGCAAAATGGGTCACCATAAAAAGAATTAACCTTTTTGACATGGACAATGACTCCCAGTGCTTCCTTCTAGGAAGCAAAGGGAATCATTGTCTCTCGCAACGCGGAAACATGAATCAAAAGTTGATACATTAAAACAAAAATACAAACTTAACTCCTCTGCAATTACGACACAAAACTCCGTTCAGCGCTAAACTGAGATGACGTTGGAAGCAATAGGTTCGCGGGCCAATGAGTCGCCTGACTTTTCTCCAGACCTAAAATTAACTTGTCCAGCGAGTATGCAACCTCCACCGCGCTGCCAGTTTAGCTGTGAACTCAGTATATCTGCAGTCATCACATTCCAAAAATCCTGAACATAGCAATACTTCAGCAATAACGCGAACGTAAAAATTGAAACTTGAAGTTAAAAGCTACCCTCTACAGACGGGTGATGCACAGTACGTGTTTTATTTGCGGTTTAGTGATTTGGAAAAAGTGCGTTTCTTAAGTGGTCGACTATATTTTAGGAATTCAATTTGGCCTTATTTCTTATTTGTTTGAAACTACTCAGGTTACATGTGGAGTGAAATTTCGGGGCGCAGTTATTTTTATGTATGTTTTTCACTTGAATGTGTTGATATATTTGCAGGTCTTTCTTTCCACTGCGTGTTCTGTGACTTGTAAGGATGACGTGGTCAAAATGCGCAGGGATGGAACGCCATGTATAGTAAGTGAAGCCTTTGTCCACAATTTTTTTTTGAACATTAGAGTCAGATACTTCTTTAACTCTAACCACTAACAGTGTGAGAAACTTGAAGCGTTGCAAAACCCGGGCACCGTACCGATCCGCAACCAAATAAATTGCTGTTTCAGCCGATAAGAGAGCCGTAGAGCGAATCACAAAGAAATGAGCTGAAACCAAATTCAATGTGCTGTCTGTAGAGTCCGCCGGTGTATAGACCTTTCAATAAAACGCGCCTAGGCCGCCGCCATGTTGCTGACGCTGATGCGACTGGTGCGACTATCGCGCCCCCTATCAGTTAAAAATTTTCTGTTACTGTCTTAGACTGTGAAAACCCGCTCAGCGCGATTTTGTACCTATGTTTTGCCGTTTTGCATTCGACGTTTTTTGGCCCCTCTTGAAAGTTTCCACTTAATTTTTGTTATGCGTGCTGCGTATCGTTTCTGTGTTATCTTACACCGTGAGAAAAGAGCTAAAAAGGGCGTGCCATTTAGGATATTCTGCTGAACATTCACGGGAAACGAAGGAGAGGAAGGAGATCAAACGGGCTTCGACGCGATTTCGCGAACAATGACAATTAATCTCCTGTTCTCCCAGAGATAATCCGTGCAGAGTCCTCTCCAAAAATAGGGTGGGAAACGGGTCAGTCGCGTTCGTTCCTTGGCCTTGGTGCTGTTGTGGAAAAAAGAAGCTCTCCCCAAAAAGTGCCCCACAACGAAGTCAGCTTGCAATTGCATTCCGACTGATCGTCATATATGACAGTCGTCGACTGTGACTGTGTTGCTTGAGATCTTTCTCAAATAAATTCGTTTCAGATAACGCTGCGTCGTGTGGTACGTACAATACACTGTTAGCAAAAATAACACGCCCAGACGTGTAAACCGTTGTCCCATAGCGGACACGTCGAAACGTGTTCGTTTTACACGGAGCCATCTGTGTTTTTCGTCTACACATGAGGTGCTGTGTAAAGTTAACACGCTACACCGTGTTTGCCTTCCGAGAAGCACGGTTCAACGTGTTCCTTATGAAACATGGCGGCCAGCAGCCGAGAACAGGCGAGGGACGAGCCCAGCCAGCCGCGCCTTTCAGCCGAACTGAAAGCATACAGGACGCGTTCGTTCCCGTTCGATGTCTTTTATGCACAGTAAACGGTCTCCGAGCGGCGGACGTAGCTACGTGCAAAGGTACCTACGTGCATCGTCGGCGGTCGGTGGCGTCGGCAGCTACAACAAAACCGCTAGACAAAAAAAAGAAAAAAGAATATTGAACTTACATGGATAAATAGCTCAAGTAAACTCTTGTAATCGGGCGGTAACTTGCGCCACCTAGTGCGATTTCTAGCAACCAATGAAAAAAAAAGCAGGAGTCGGTTAATACGCTGGGAACTATCACGAGTAGACTGCTACTCTACATACATCACAGACAACACGAGCACCACGTAGGACACAGCAGCGACACATACACAAACACAACACCGGCACTACGCCCGACACTTCCTACTAACAACAGACTCTCCCCGCGGCGTATATATGCTTGACATGTACGGGTGAGCTCTTTGGTCGCTGACCGTTACCGATTTATAGAAGAAGACACAAAACACGGCACAATGGACAGCCGTATGTAAGAACTGTTTGCATTTAAAACGTATGGAGGCAAAATCTCTAAAATTAGTCCTTTGCGAAAAACAACGATGTACTAACAATAAATCTTAAACCGGCCATGAAAAAGTTCAAATTTTTGTTATTTTCATGCTCGACCAGTGTTATGAGCAGTCCGACTCGCTTGAATCAGATAGAAAAACAAATGATTGGGATTTTATCAGTACGTATTCAATAATCAATGGAAATTATACTTGCGCAAGGCATTTTTTATATATATTATTGTGAAGGACATCCGCCCAACACTTCACTTCCGCTAGTTGTAGTACGCGTACGGGAGCAGACGCCTTCACTTTTGGGGCGTTTTGATGCAGATTGTTGTCGTATGTCGTGTTGGTGTCGAGCGAAGCGGTGAGGCTTGGGAGTTTGTGACCGGTGCTATTCGTGATCATTAATGTGGCGCTGATGCGTTTTTTTTTTGTTTTTTTTTTAATATTTCCATATAGCCACATTGAAAATTCACGAGCCCGTGGCACTGCATTATGCTAAAATCGCGAGCTCCTTCTCTGTTGACGTCGTTTTTCTGGTAGCACTCGTGGATACTGCAAGCGTTTAAACAGTGCACAGTCTCGCCTACATCCGCGGTGACGTACTCGACCTGTTGAAACATATTGCTTGCGTCATTTTGGAGTACGCAAGGCAATTATCTCGCTGCTCTGGTTTCGGTTATAAAAGCAAGGCAAAACGCTCGTAGTTCCCGCCCTCAGTACACGTTGGACATCTTCCACACTTTGACACTGGATAACTGGATGAACGAGGATTTACATTTACTTCAGAGGTCACACTCGCCGCTTCCTCACCGTCGAGCAGCAGGATCAGCTGGCGACAAGCCGCGTATGAAAGGCTCGAACATCAACAGCCCAAGTGCACTCGGGGCCGATGCGGGCGACGCGGGTTTCTGTCAACCGCTAGCCCAGCACAGACCGTGACCGTTCCAACTCTTCGTTATGACGCGGTGTTGCAGAAAGCAGCGTATAATACCACTACACGGACCACCGAAGCGAACGCACTGGTATCGTAAATCTTGGCTTGTGATTGCGCCTAATTTTGTAAATAATCTTATTCTTTTTTCTGGAGACGCAAACGAAGGGCATAACAAAATCGTTTGCATATTCCGCATACCTCGCAAAAGCATCAGTCACCTTGCGAGAAGCGCAAAACACGGTGTCCGCACCGTCCTGACTTCCCAGTCTTTTACCTGCTTTAGAGCAGTTTGTACCTGTTAGTAGGTATGTCTACTGAAACTGCAACTTGAAACTTGGGGCAGTGCCAGAGGGAAAAGAGACAAATTCGGGCCTCTTCCCAATGTAAAGAAAAACCACTATGTTCTCTACGTAAAAAATTGGACTCAGTTCATGCATCTGTGGGCAGGTAGAAAATCTTGCCCTAGTTTATTCACACCGCATAATGAGCGCAACAAACTCACACAAGTCACACGAGATTTACAGGAAAACATCGGTGGTGACTTAAGTTTCCCTGAAATTCTGTATAACCGGTCGTTTGCGGGACCGAATCATCTACTCGAGCGGTGTGCGTCGCTGTGCGAACACGTCGCTGTGCAAATGCAGTCTAACGACACAAAGCATAGAAACGGCAGATTTAGGGAAACTATCCGAAGTCCCTTGTTCAATTAAAACGACGTAATTTTGTTGAAAACGTCTGCAGCATTTTACTCACGGTATGCGTCGGGAATCTTCCACATTTTGAAACGGAACGAAGGAAGGTTTACTTTTAAGATCGCTCGCTGCGTCCTCCCCGACCAGCTGGACCGGATCAGCTGGCGACGACGGGGCTAAACCCGCCAAACGCAACCCCACAACAACCAATATGAGCTCCGCGTTAGTGCGGGTTTCTACCTACAAGCACCGCACCACACACCACGAACGTTTCGGCCCTTTCTCGCATCGCCGTGTTGCCCCAAACAGAACGAGATCGCCGAAGAACGCAGCGCTGTCGTGAACCTTGGCTTGTGGTTGCGCACTCGTGGACCCTGTGACTCCCCTCGCTTTCAAAGCACACACGACGAATGGTACTTTCCGTCTTCCGGGAACATCACAGGGGCACTTCTCCGGTCACGTCTTCACTATGTGCTCGCAAACTGCGAAGCTCTATGCGAAGCTTCTCGCGTCCCGTCAAACCAAAACAATAGCGGCTGCCAGAAATTTCTCCGGTCAAACAAAAAGAACGAAAGCCAACCGGCTCTTGCTTCCACCGTACATCGACGTTGCGCTTGCGCCATGGCCAGATCGGCCAGATCGCTTGCAGTTGAAGCAGTTGAAGCGGTTGAAGCAGTTGAAGGTTGAAGCAAAAACGAAACCAACTGCAATGTCACGTGTTCACATCGAAGACACGCTTTTTATACCCATTTTAACTGTTTTGAACGAATAATTGGACCCATGACTTTATTTGTGGTGTGTAAGAAACTATTATCAAGAGCCCTAAACTAAATGCAAACATGGGCGACATGAGGGAAGCCGCATTGCCATCGACCAGAAAATGGCGGCGAGCCACGGTACGCGCGGGTTTCGCCAACGTCCTGCGACATGGCGTAATTGCTTTTGGTGCATATCTGTTTCCGAGACATGTTTCTTTCCGCGGCATTTGTCTCGACGGTCCTTTCTAAGTGTGTCCCCAAGCATTCCGGTGCTTCGATAGCCGGCAATGCCGCGGTCGTCGCCGGAGGCGATGCGTGTTATCGAGGTCGGCTACACGGTTATGCGTGTATGACCGAACCAAAACACGTTTTTTACAACCTCGCATGATATCTGAACGTATTATCCGTTACTCATCGTGTAAATTTATGGTAATTTGTGTAAATAGCGTGTTTTTCACCCCAAATATTCACCAAATACACGGCACTTGCTAACAGTGTATATTGTTCGAATATTAAAACTTTCTAAATTGTATGACCGTGTCTTGTCCATCGGTAAACACGTTAATTGTGAGCGCGAAAAATGCATGCCTTTCGGCTATCTTCTGCTGCAATTTATTTTCGACAGCTAAGCGCTTTGTCATTCGATACGCGGCTATTCGGGCGGCGCGTCAATACTTATTGTAGAAAAAAAAGAAGAAAAAAAAAACAAAAAAAAAACACGACAACTAGATTTTGTCCGGTTACCATTTTTGTTCGGTGCGCGCGCTACAAACCGAATGCGACTGGAATAGTCGCATTAGTTTTGTAGCGCGCGTACCGAACAAAAATGGTAGCCGGACAAAATCTCACCAGACAAAGCTCACCGGACAGGAGCTCACCGCACAAAAGCTCACCGGACAAAAGCTCACCCGTTTTTTCACAGACCCGGACAAAAGCTTACCTTATTCTTTTCC